GGAAAATTGATTGCATCAAGGTGTGTGTTTGAACTTTGAAGTTATGTAGGAGTCCCTAGATTGTTGGTTGGTGATTGATGGGTTGTTTTACTGGGGTTTGGACCGAAGAATGCTTCGATTCAACTATTAGGTCTACCCCTTAATTTATTGTGCCAGGATCTGTATCTGTTCGTGCTGATTGGTATGTGAAGAAGTGGATGCCCATTGCACGCAGGAAAAGCAATCCTTTTGAAAATAAGGATTGGGGTCACGTGCTTTTTAAATCAGCAAGGTAAGAAGGATGCACCTTGTTGAAAATTGGTTTGTCATTTGTGGACAAGCCCCATTGGGCTCTTAAGTGCAATCCCTTTGCTCAGTTGTCTCTGATTGCACAGAGGCAGAAAATGCTAGGGGAACGGCAGAGATGAGAGCAGGGTTTGGGACAGAGAATGATAAGGGTAAGGATAGTGGTCTCAAAGGGTGTTCCAGAGTACACGTGACTCGGATTTTGGTGGATTGAGTTCCTGGGCGAATCGGAGGATAATCCAACAAATTAAACTCACGAGTGGGGGGCTGGACCTAATATCAGGGAAGCAAAAGATGGGTTCTTGGTTTAGTCGTGAAGGCACCTACAATGCTGGACGTGATGGGGTCCAAAAAGCCATGTTGGAGCATTGTTCAATATTGCGATTCAATTTTCAGGAATCTGGGGGCTAAGGCAGCATTCTCTCCATTAGTTATGCAAGCAAAAGGCATGGGATATTATGAGAAAATGATGGACAGCAAAGGTCTGAGCACATTTGGGTGTCTCACTTGTGGTAAAGGTTCCACCTAGAAACGCATCGCAACTTATGACTGGTGTGGTGATATCAAATTTGATTGACTTGTGAGAAACATGACTGCCTTTCTGATGGAGATCATGAAAAAAGGGAAGGCACGGCTGCCNTGGGGGGGCTTAAGAGGTTTTTTTATAGCTCTTTTGGGTGTTCACATCTATTTCTTGGGATAGTTTTCTTTTGCTTTATTATGTTGTCTTTATCTTTTGTTTCCTTTCTTGTTTACTCCCTGTGTACATGGGTTTGTTAGGCCTCTTTTTTTTTTCCTTGTTAGGTTATTTAATCTGTACAAAAAAGTTTTCTTTCTCAGCGCAAGAATAATAACAGAATGGGAATGATAATGGTGAGCCATTGAATGAGAAATCATGACCTTAAACAATTGCTTGTCGCTCTAGTGTCGTCAACTTGATGTGCTGAACAACTATGATCAGAATCCTTTCAGGGTCTAGCACTGAGATTTCCGCTAATTGGAAAGATTTAGTTTCTTATAACAATAACACGTATATTACGTGGTAGTCTTTGAATTTTGTTGTCTGCCTATACTTGCTCTGAACCGGGGTTTGGACTCCTTGTTTTCTTTCTGTATTATTTAACCTATCAAAAATATATATTCGTCCACTGCAAACATCCTAGGAATAATGGTGATATTTAGTTTTTCATAACAATTACATCGTATATTACCGTATATAATAGTATCACGAATTTGCGCAGGCCCGTTTTCTGCTAGCAAAATTGAATCCTTCGGCTACATACAACTCTGATGCTCCTCCTGTTCCTGGAGGGGATATTATCTTTACAGACGATGTCAGCTTTGAGGTTTTCTTGGATCATCTTCAGCGGTTGGCAGTCCAATAGAATTCTTTTAACATTATCTCAGGAGGTTAGCGGGGAAAGATAATATAACCTCACTTTCTGCAATTTTGTAAAATGTTTTCTAGATTGTTTTGTACAGCAATATATTTGATCATCTCTCTTTTCTTTTTNTAATATAACCTCACTTTCTGCAATTTTGTAAAATGTTTTCTAGATTGTTTTGTACAGAAATATATTTGATCATCTCTCTTTTCTTTTCAATAGTTGTCTCTGTTGGCTTAATTATTTGAAAAATCTTTAACCTTCTATTATGATGTCAATAATATTGACTGATATTCATAGCACGGTTTCATTCAATATGAAGTGCGTGGTTCTCTGTGACTTCTCTTGGATTATTTTGTGTGTATGCCTGTTCCGCATGTTTTGGCTATCTATTTCATCCATTCCACCAAGTAGAAGCAGATATCACATTTGCAGTCACAAAACCATGGGATTTATTTTTGTTTTAAGTAGTGCGCCCAGAGCTAAGTTTGTCACATATATAAGCCTCTGTAATCTCAAATGTCCCATCTTCTTCTAGCAAATGGGATAGAAAAGAGCATGGAAAATATCCAAGTCTTACTCTGGGCTGGGATAAGTCTCCGAAATGAGCAAGCATGCTCAACAGTATTTTCTTCTTATTATGACTAGTAAGCACACTTAAAACTAGCCTACGTATTTGAGGGGATTAACTTACACGTCAAAGCACATCAATTATGATGGTTAAGCAGTTGTTGTTTTAGTTAGCTGAATGAACTGCTGTGTGGATACAAATTTACAATTAGCTACTTTAAATTGCTGAAGATGCACCTGGTTATGACTTATGATGGCAGTGAGACAGGAAAAATGAATAGCATTGGTAGATAAAGTAGGACTTAATACCTAAAGAGTAGTGATTGTTACATCAAGAAGCTCAATCTGCGGTGACGTTATTGTCATGTGGTCGACCCAAGAGTCGGTCACATAAAAATAAATCACCATGATGTGGCCATGAAGGATCAGCACAAATGAATTTACATGAGAAGGACCAGAGAATAAAATCAGTGGAGTCCTTTATGTTAAGAGTCTACTTATAGTGCCTAAGGTTGAGCTTCGTTGGCCAAGTTCAATTGAGGGGATGCTAAACAGTGTGTGTTCTGTAAGTTGTTGGCACATTTGGGTGCGCACGTGTAATTCATTGTGGAAGCATTTTTTGTGCCAGCTCTCTGGTACCAGTTGCGTTGACTTAGCAACAGATTCTAAAGATGGATTCTGGAGAAATTTTTAGAACAATCGGACTCAATACATTTATTTACTAGTTAAAGTTATAGGGGGAATCCCTTGCCAACCTAAAAGGTAGTCGTTTAGTGCCTGAAACCCAGTTGAGAACGCCAATAATGCTTGTTTCTTAGTTGAATAGCTATTGGTATACTGTCTTGTGGTTCTAGAGGAACCTGAACAAGAGGCGGCAACTTGTAGCTGTACGTATCTCATTTCCTTAACCTTCTCGTATATAAGGTATTTTGATTCTAAAGCATTTCTAGATGGTTGAATATAAATACTATACACTGAATCATTCTTCTAAATTGAAACTATGTCAGAGATAGATACCATGCACGGCAAAAGCCTCTAGTAAATAATACTAGTCAGTGATATTTACTGTTCCAGTTGTTAATGATTGCCTGTTACCCTTTGCAGTTAGACAATAGTTGCAATTACATCCTTAGTGGACCCAGTGATTGAATATGTTCTCCAGTTTGGTAGGTTGGCTAACTTTTTGGTTATGATACCAAGCTAAAACTGAGGTATGCATTGGAAATTAAATGTGGGAGAACTAAGCAAGGTGTCAAAATGTGTATCAAAACGCGTAACATTTTTCATAAATAATGTATCGTATATCGTAACATTATGATACATTCAATTTAAATTTATATGCATATATACCACAAAATGCGTAAATATATGGCGCCTAAAATAATAAAGATATCATTTCTGCTCACTTGTCATTTTGTACGATGTGTGTTTCTACGATGCATGTTTCTGATAGAGATTGAAAGTGAGACAATCATACGTCTTCATGATAAAGATTGAAATATAGTTAGGTTTTATCTATTTGAAAGATAAGAAGAATAAGATGCAAGAGAAATAAGGAAAAGAAGATGATCGAGAGTTTCATTTGGTTGAGAATAAACCAAAAAAGAAAAAGTAGCAAAAATGAAACGTCATCATTTCATGTTTAGGGTAAAAAGGAGTCTTGTGAAATGACGCCGTTACGTCTTCATGATAAAGATTGAAATATAGTTAGGTTTTATCTATTTGAAAGATAAGAAGAATAAGATGCAAGAGAAATAAGGAAAAGAAGATGATCGAGAGTTTCATTTGGTTGAGAATAAACCAAAAAAGAAAAAGTAGCAAAAATGAAACGTCATCATTTCATGTTTAGGGTAAAAAGGAGTCTTGTGAAATGACGCCGTTACGTCTTCATGATAAAGATTGAAATATAGTTAGGTTTTATCTATTTGAAAGATAAGAAGAATAAGATGCAAGAGAAATAAGGAAAAGAAGATGATCGAGAGTTTCATTTGGTTGAGAATAAACCAAAAAAGAAAAAGTAGCAAAAATGAAACGTCATCATTTCATGTTTAGGGTAAAAAGGAGTCTTGTGAAATGACGCCGTTTCGATGTGTAGAGTAAAAGACAAAAAAAAGTGATCATGCGTGCATCATTTTTTCGTTATATCGAAAAAGATCATAAGATTTGTATTGCATATTGTAAGATATGGGAAAAGAAAGATACAACTCATAGATACTATATCAAGATGTATCGTAAAATATGCATCGTGTGTCGTAAGGTATTGACAACTTTACATGAATTTTTTTTGAAATCCGTATGNACTCATAGATACTATATCAAGATGTATCGTAAAATATGCATCGTGTGTCGTAAGGTACTGACAACTTTACATGAAATTTTTTTGAAATCCGTATGTTCCTCTTTACTATATGTCAAAGCAAAGAACTCTTTTTTGCACCTCGAAATTTAGGCATCCAGGTCTTACTAAATGTGAAATTTGCTATAGAATGCTAGGAAATGTTGGTGAAAATTTCTCCCATCTTACATTGTAAGCGAATTTGTGTATATTCTATTCAAATTCAACAGAAAATGAAGCACANGAATGCTAGGAAATGTTGGTGAAAATTTCTCCCATCTTACATTGTAAGCGAATTTGTATATATTCTATTCAAATTCAAGAGAAAATGAAGCACTACTTTTTACTAATCGACATAAAAATCTGATAGACAACTACTTTTACTGTGGCCAAATATGGCTTGTATCATACATATACATAAAATCTCGCGGCATTTCTTAAGTTGCCATTTTATTTTGTAAATAAACTGTTCTAGCCATGACCTGAAGCCTGTAAAGGACAGAGTTGTCTGTCCTGGTATCTTCGTTGTCTTATTTTGAATATGTTGGTTGAGGCAAGCAATCATCTAGTAGTCCCTTTAAAATCCAAGATGTCATACACCTTTGTTATTCACAGCCAAACTCTTGTAGCAGCTCATGAATTTTGCTATAAACTCTGTGGAACAAAATTCAAAAATGAATATCTGTAGAAGACATGGGAGTGGAACAATTGTAAAATATATTGACTGTGTGTTCCATAAATAGGGCATGTATAATTTTGAGATCAAATAGTTGTAAAGCTAAAATTACTAATTTTCTCTTTGAAAGAAAATGGTTGTTCCTACTCAAGTTGATGGTTGAAATGATACTTCTCATATTTATCTTAAAATAACTGCAGTTGGAGAATCAGGAGCAAGCTATATATGATCTGAGACAGAGTTGAATACATTTTACTAGCTGAATAAAATTCACTTAAGAGCAGAGGAGATGAATGAACGTTGCTGTGCCACATGGAAGACAGATACAGTGCAGCTTTCATAGAATCTCTAATTGAAGAATTGTTGAAAAAGGTTACTTAAAATTGGGGATACATATCTATAATCCTCAAATTGTAGGATATAATAATAGGAATAGTGATTTTAGAATAGAAATGTGATAGGCATTCCATAATTTAGTCATAAGATGGTCAATGAACATAAATTTAAGTGGGTCAAATTGCAGAAGAACAATTTAAACAATTCAACCATGATCAGAAGTGTTGTCCTTGTTTACTGAGATGAAAACTGAATCATTTGATGTGCTCTAATTCAACAAATACTTCTGGTTTTAGCTTTATGATATTTGCCAAGGACATTTGTGTAAATTATTTTTAAAAATATTGAATGCCATTTCTATAATTTTTCTTTCTTTTTTCTTATCGTTTTTATGTTTTGTGGTTGGTTGTGGGGAGGGGGGAGGGGGGAGGGTCAGAATATTTAATCGAATCAGATTAATGGTTTACGGTGATCCTACCTGGACACCCTTGATTATGACTAAGTAGGGAGGGTCTCTCTGTTACATGAGTGGTGATATCTTGAATGTGAGCAGATCATAAGGAGCCATAATTAAGGTGCTACAACGATCATGATTAGACTATATGAAAAGAGGGTATAATATTTTTTGATGTTTAGATCTATAAGGACTTAGATTCTGAACAATAACATAGAATAAAAAACCAACTGTGAGCACCAGTAAATAAACCAGCAAATTTTTGGTTTTCCTTTCGGCAAATAGTTCTTTGCACATTAAACATTTGCGGAACCAAAATTCAAGTAGTTATTTTATTCCTGAATTTCCTTGGATCAAGTGGGCAGTCATCCAGAAATAGACATTTCTTGCGAGTATCTGAAGAACTGACTATCCCCAAAAATAGTGATAGGCTTCAAAGAAATGGAGTCCAAATCCCTTTCTTTGCTATGCAAGTGTCCAATCGTTAGTTATTGACTTATTGTTTGTCCAACTTGTGCAAGATTATGAATTTCGTTAACTTTGCACAAGGTTATACATTTTATGTTTACTAATTACTATCACCAATATATGTCTTACCTTCAATCCTCATAAAATGCTGAACATTCTTTCTTCCTGCATCATTATGCGTTTTACCCCTTTTTTTATGTTCACTGCGTGCAAAGGCAAAAGGCTTGTCATCATCCCTCTGCGTACAAGAAAAAAGATTGACCCATTATGCTAGTGTTTTTTATGCACTCAAAAATAAGACTATTATGATTGAAATTAGCAAAATTGATATGCTGGTGTTTATACATTGTATTCCTTGTACAGATTGTCTATTTGTAGGTGTAATTGCTCATCCAGATGTTTCTTCAGTTCTGTCACAAGAGTCTATAGAAAGAGCACTAGTTAGTAAAATTACAACCACCTAGGGCTATATTTCATGAATAGGGTGTTCTTACTTGAAAGATATATTCGGGAGATACATTGTACTCTATGAGATTTTGAAGTTTTCCACGGATGGCATATAGCCTGTGTATACAAGCAATGGAATATATGTGAGATTACAGGAGGCGACAGCCTGAAATGGGATTGCATTAACATTTTAGAAGCCTCAACTAAAGGGCAGTGACATTGACACAAGCCTAAAAAGATTTTGGTTCTTAATTGTTTGGAAAAATCTGGCCAGGAAAAACTTACTGTTTTGGGCTTTGTTCTTCTACAATATTTTTGGCAATCTTGGCAATATCATCTTCCCACCCCGTCATGATTTGTTGATCTTCCTTCAAGGAAGAACTGCACACACATCATTGCATACATGTAAAAGATAGGTATGTGGAAAGGGGAACGAGAAAGTATTGGGAATTGTTGTGAAATAGAAATTGATCAACTTGAGAGCCCATAAATGTTTGTTTTAAGTATAGCTGAGTGTTACTTTAATTTCCAGGTAGCCTCAAACGAACGGATGGCTTGCCGTAGGTTATTCTTGGAATTAATAGCAATTTTCACAGCCAGTTGGTGTGGCAAATTTATGCCTTCTTGTTTTGCTATGAATTGCAAAACCTCAACAATCTGAAAAAGAATGAAGATGTATCAGTTAAATTGATTTTGGTGCAAAACTTGTGAGTTGAAAGTATGGGGTTACCACCTCTTCGTTAGAAGGCGAAAGGAGTTGTACAATGGTGCAAAGTGACTTTATCGGCTGAAGCTTTGACACATCGGTGCAGCAAAAGACCACCTTATTGCACCCTTTATACCTTTCTAGTAGCCACTTGATATATAGTAGGGCATCTGTAGATAGTTTGTCTGCCTCATATAGAATAATTGCTGCGAAAGCATGAAGTAACGAATTTTGATTTATGTTGCATTTCAGTATTTTTGGTTGATTTTTTGAAAGCAAATATAGTCAACAATACCTCGACAGTTATCATGGCTGCACTCCAAAGCTTGGTTTGATAACCTGTTATTTGCTTCTTTGATAAGTTCGAGTATTATGTGCTTCTCGTACCCTTTTAGTTCAGAGAGATTGACTTCAACGTGTTGAGATGATTCTTTTATGTTTACAAAGATGCTGCCCACTGCTTCTCCCTGTGATGAACTTATCATAAGATCATACTCACATCTATTTTTAAAAATGGTAGTACAAAAATTGAGGGTACTGGGTTTGATAAACATTTTGGAAGCAATTCCTCTTTCTTGTTCGTGTGTGTTGGGTGCGGTCAGGGGAGATTGAATTCGGATTCTAGTGCTTTTGAATTGCATGGATATGAATGTGTTCTTTGCTTCAAAACTTTATGTTAACTTTTTGAATGTTGCTTGAGCATTGTCAATCTGATTCTGATGTTTTATTAGCTGGATGTGAAAACATTTTATAGCATACTATGTTCTTCTCTTCTTGTCTGGTGATTGTACTGTGTGGAGAGTTGGAAACTTTATTCCAGGAAAACTTGTGCGTAATTTCCCTAAAATGACTCAAAAAGAGAATTAATTCAATGAAAGGCTGAAATGATGAACTCTACCTTCAAGTCAAATTTCTTGCACTCGTCCCTGGCCTGCAAAACATCAAGAAAATAGAAGCATGATCAACTAACCTAAAGAAAAAACCGGCAACAAAAAATTTCGGACAAATCTATGAATAATTTAAATTTTGTGGCATTTGAATGTGTAAGTTGGAGGTCTGATTTTCAGAAGTTGATGTGTCTAGAAAGAATGATAGAATAGACCTTCTACAGGTAAATGCCATATCTATGGCAGTGCTGGTAGGTTTTCTTGTGCTATAATCCAGGAAATTGATCTTAGTCCACCAAATTCAGTCAGGTTTCATAGTGTTCAAGGCTAGTTAAAGGGTAGGGGTGGTATTTTTGACACGGAACCAAATGATAACTTGATACGAAGTTCATACGAAATTTCTGGGTTAATATTAACTATCACTTGACACGAATTGGATTACTAGAACAGTAAATATGTCAAGTTAGTGCCAAATATAAATAACTTTATTTTTAGTTGAGAAACCTGTTTAACTGGTATTCTATGAAGGAACTGTGTCTATTTCTTTTGCAAGTTATTTTTCATTTTGTGATGTAACATTATATGAAACCTTGTAGAATAGATGATTTTTACTTGTTTCTGTAAGCATCTGGATAGGGTGGATCTTTATTTATGGGGATCTTAGAGGTGGTGGGTTTGGTTGAGAGGGAAAAGGGTCCTAATATTGAGTTTTGGACTCGGGTCTAGTGTATAAGACTCAAACATGATCACGTTATCTGAGATGATTAGCTAATTGCTCGGGTTTGGATTTGATTGGTGGTCATTGTGAATTCCAAATGACGCGACTTGAACGCTACATGACTAGAACTGAAGCGAAGGATTGTATATACATGAAATTGTGTCTTATACCTGTATTTTTTCTGCTCCAAAAGCTTCGCGAAGCAATGCCCGAATCATGGTTCTCTTTCCCACACCTGGAGATCCTTCAAATATGAGATGCCCACAATATCCTGATTTCGCCTACAAATTATTCAGCGAAATTTTCAATTACTAGAAATTTAACTACTCTTGGTGCTTACTTCTCTCGGACCCCATTATTGGAAGAAGCAATGTGTATGAGTAAACATCAAAAACCAAGAGTAATAGTTATGTAAATCTCACCAAAGCTTGCAGCTCAACTGCTTTATCCCTGTTACAGAAAAAATCTTCTAGGGCTTGAGGCCGATAATTGTCTGCCCAAATGAACTGTCTTTCGTTCTCCGCTAGTGAAGTTTGTACTGGTTCTAGTGGTAATGTTTGCAGAGGTGGTGGTGCAGTTTGTAGGCGTTGCGGTGGTGGTGAAGTTTGTAGGTGTTGTGGCGGCGGTGGTGGTGGTTGTTGTTCTGATTCTCTCTCCCTCAATTGCTTCTCTTCCGTTGATATAGCAATACTGTGACTTTCCTTGACATTACTGCTACCATTCTTCTGTAAATTTGTATTCTTCAGTTCTGTAGTGATTCTCCGAGCTCTTGCAATCGTCGTAATTGTTGCAGTCGTCTTTGTTGACGATGATGAAGAAGAAGAGGAAGTAATCTGAGTGCCTTGAGAGCTTTTACTGATCCCACTAGAACTCGTACTTGTGTAGTGTTTCTCTTCCTTGTTCTTCCTGATAAAGCAAGAACCACCCCATTCTTGCATCTTAACCATGAAACTCGATCCGGAGCTTGAACTGAAAGAAGTGGCTGCATGGCTTTCTCGTCCCGGACTTGACCCCCCTGGGAGTCTCTGTCGATTTGTAACAAGGGATGAATCTGTGAGCCCCTGGTAATAAGGACTACTCTTGGAGTGNCTGAAAGAAGTGGCTGCATGGCTTTCTCGTCCCGGACTTGACCCCCCTGGGAGTCTCAGTCGATTTGTAACAAGGGATGAATCTGTGAGCCCCTGGTAATAAGGACTACTCTTGGAGTGTCTCTTCAAATCCAAAAGCTCATTTCTTCTGTTAAATTCCCCAAGACTATGTTCAGTTAAATCTGAGTTTTTCGTCGGGGAAACAATCTTGTTGGTTATGTAGGTACCAACCTTCTTGGGCCAGGAAGTCATCAGTGAGCCGGTCGAACGGAGAGAGATGTTTGAAGGAGANGAGGAGAAAGGAAAACTGAGGGAAGAGGATGGTGATTGGGAAGTGAGGAGGAGGAAATGCATGGTTTTGATGGTTTCTGATAAGAATGACAATTTCTAACACAACTCAAAATTAACGGATTAAGTTTGACAATTTTTTAACACGAACTTATATATGACATGATCCATTAACACGAATAATAAATGAGTTCATGTTTAACTAATATTATAAAAATAAAATGTTAATTGTTTATTATATTTTATCAAGTAGTGACCTAATTTTTGTACAAGAACAGANAGGCATAGGACTGAGACTGAGAGAGAGTGGGAGAGAGACGTTTTCTGGTGATGGGGGGATCAGGAATGGGACATGGCGTCGACGGACTCGACATTAAGTGGAACAGGATGGGTGATTGAGAATTGAGGAAAAGGAAGTGCGCAGTTTTGGTGGTTTCTCGTGGAAAATACATATAGTTGGGCGGGAATTCTAAGGGAAAGAAAATGATATGGCGTTAGTTACCAAGGTTTGTCACATCGTTGAGGCTCAAGAGACAAACATGGTGGACTGGATGTATAATAACTCTTTAGAGAGATGCCAAAAGATTGGCTGGCTTGGATGGGGCACCATTTGACTTGNGAAAAAGTATGAGTATATAGTTGATTAACTGATAATAAAATTTTAGACATAAAAATGTGTTAAATTTTTTATTCACAGGTTATATGGATCAATATGAGCACGAAACAAATATAAATAGGTCGAAATANTAGTTACCAAGGTTTGTCACATCGTTGAGGCTCAAGAGACAAACATGGTGGACTGGAAGTATAATAACTCTTTAGAGAGATGCCAAAAGATTGGCTGGCTTGGATGGGGCACCATTTGACTTANAATACTCGACATGAACTCAAAATAACCTGACACATGAACCCAACACGATTGTCACCATCGTTTGTGATTGAAAATTCATAGCTGGCGAGAAAAGCTAAGGGAGAGAAAATGACATGGCGTGAGGTACAAAGGTTTGTCGCACTGTTGAGGATTAGGAGACAAACATGGTGGAGACTATTTTACAGAAGGAAAGTCATTGGGAAGGAGCCTGACCAATGCTACCATCTTAGTTTATAATTTTACACATTAAAATTCCAAACGATTGGCTGGCTTAGATGGCGCACCATTTGACTTTTCTTTATGATTTTTTTTTTCAATTGTTAGGAACGAATTAACTTACGTACATTTCAATTAATTCTCTCTTTGATCCGGTCAAAGATAAGTCATTGTCCAGGTCCAATAGCTGCGGAAATAATAGGTTTATTTGTTTATGGGGTGACTATAGGCTGTGGGTTTAGTAGAGAGAAAGGGTTTTAAGTCTTAAATTTTTTGTTCATGGGTTACACGTGTTACCTCGAACAGCTAAAAATAATGGGATTATTGTTTTATGGGGGGGATTATAGGGGTGGTGGGTTGGTCGAGAGAAAAAGGTTTGAACTCTTAGTATTTTGGTTCACCGATTACATGTATTAACTCAAACACAATATGGAGTGATTACAGGCGGTGGAATTGGTAGAGAGAAAAAAGTATCCAAGTCTTGATTTTTTTTGTACATAAGTTATACGTGTTAACTCGAACACGACACTGAGTAATAAACATGTTACGTTAGAGACACAAAAATGCCAAAAATAATTGTCTCGGATAAATTGGCACCATTTGATTGTTCTCTATGATTCGAGGCATTGTCTGCCCAAACCAAATAAGCTTTATACCATTGCACTTTAGGAGAGTTTGAGGTTAGATAGTTCCATGTTGAGTGAGTAGATGTCCTGACTTTGAATTTTAACAATTTTTTTAAGTCAGGTCATGAGAGATTTATTTCTCATGAATATTTTAGTCCCAGCGTAGATGACCTACTTTTGATCAAACAGAAAATAAGATTAATCGAAGTACGCGTAAATTAACCTAAACACCCTTCGTCATTGACTTAAAAAAAAACAGAAAAAGTGTGAGCAGAATGCAGCCCATTAGTATCAAGAAGATACTTAACTTGGTCAGATTTGTGAGCATTTGGTGAAATAACTAGGCATTGAGTTGCTGATTTCAAGTAATTCAATGAAGCTGACCAGGACCATTTAACTCGATCAATTACTTCTATTGAGTTCTCTGTTAGAGGGACTCCAGTCCTATCTCAATGGTGGGTGAGGAACTACACTAATGATGCAGAGGTCCCCAGTTCGAATCCCCCTCCTCTGGACCACATTTTTGGGTTTGAACCTGCACTTGGTTCAGTGGTCGAACAAGGGCTGGAGCATCAAACCGCACGTCCTAAATTCGGGTCTTTAAGTTCCTGTCCCACGAATTGCATAAGGCCCGAATTTAATCAATGGTGTGATTTGTGGGTAAGTGTGTGGAATCAAGGTTTATGTTATGACCATGAGTACAAGAATGTATGATTGATACGATTCTCTACTATTTGAAAAAAGTTCAAGTCCCGCAAACTACACAAAACTCGAGTTTAATCAATCGCGTGATTTGTGAATAATTGTGTGCATTTGAAATTTATTTTAGAGTGTAAGAACGTGTGATTAATACGATTCTCTATTATTTTTTGAAAAAAAAAAAATTTGAGTCCCACCTAGGAAACAGTATGGGGGGTGAAAATTCTTGATTACTGGTGTTTCATTAAAATTACTAGAGGGTTTGATTATATAACTTAAGAGAAGTTTATCTTCCTAATTGGTCCTCCCCAGGGGGCCCTTCTCGCTCTGTCTCTCTCTCTCTCTCACAGACACACACACACACACAGACTGATGAACATCAAAACAACAAAAACAAATCTCTTTGGATGAACTGAATAGTTCCTGCGATCACAGTTCTAGGGACAAGAACATTGAATCCATTAATCTAAAAGATAAGGACTATCAACTAAGANAGGTGCACTGGCTGCTGAAAATGATCGGATTACTAGTGGGGTAGGGTGGGCGACTATAAGGGTGGTGGGTTTTGGCCGAGAGGAAAAAAGGGGTAAATATGTTGGGTTGGGAACACCAAGGGTACTGTGCAGGTCCAATGGCTGGCTTAAATGGCACCATTTGATTTTTCATTATGATTTAAGGATCCATTGAGCATTGTGCAGGTTCAATGGCTGTTGAAACCATGTACTGAAAATAGTGGCATTAATTTGTTTATCGGGCGACTATAGGGGTGGTGGGTTTGGTCGAGAAGGGTTTTAAGTCTTAGTTTTTTAGATCACAGATTACACGTTTTAACTTGAACAATTTTTGGTTCACCAATTACACGTGTTAACTCAAACACAACATGGAATGACTATAAGTGGTGGGATTGGTAGAGAGAAAAGGGGGTTTTGAGTCTTTGTATTTGGGTGTAAACACAAGGTACACGTGTTAAGTTGTACACAACACAAGTAATAAACATGTGGACACAAAAATCCAAAAAGTCATCAGTGAGCCGGTCGAATGGAGAGAGACGTTTGAAGGGGGCATGAGGGAGAGAGAGGATTTTTGGTGATGGGGGGGATAAAGTAATGGGACACGGAACCGACGGACTCCGCATTGAAGTGGAAAAACTGGTAGGTTTTTCCTTTGAGGAGAAAGGAAAACTGAGGGAAGAGGATGGTGATTGGGAAGTGAGGAGGAGGAAATGCATGGTTTTGATGGTTTCTGATAAGAACGACAATTTCTAACACAACACGAAATTAACGGATTAAGTTTGACAATTTTTTAACACAAACTTATATATGACATGATCCATTAACACGAATAATAAATGAGTTGAGTTAACACTAAATACGAAATTGACACAATTAACATGTTTAACTAATATTATAAAAATAAAATATTAATTGTTTATTATATTTTATCAAGTAGTGACCTAATTTTTGTACAAGAACATATATTTTTACTTATTTTTATTATTATATTTATTAAGTTAATTTTTCATTTATAGAAAAAGTATGAGTATATAGTTGATTAACTGATNGTTAGCCCTAGCTCCGCATCTCAGCCCTACAGCCCCTAACATTGATGAATACAACTGTTTTGCACTTCGTGTTTTTTTTTTAAGTATGTTGGGATCAAACAAAGCTCTGATACCATGTTAACATTGATCAATGGCAAGAAAAAAAAGAGAGAAGTCAAGAATATTATTAAGACTAATCCAATCAGTAATACAACCTTAACCAAGAATACACAATGTAAACCCTTATATATTAGGGCAACAAAATAATATAAAATGCCTAAACTACCCATATTATAAAACTCTAACAGTGAGGTGGAGGTGGTAATAATCACCCCTTGGTATGCGCTAACGCCTTTAGCAGATATTCCAGAAACCGCCAACGCTCATGAAAACGATAGGGAAAGGAAGCATTCAGTGATGCCAAAGATTTTAGGCTTGGCTTGGAATGTGAAATGAATGGTTGGTTTGATTGAATGTGAAATTTCATTCATGTGGTGTGAATGTCGGGTAAAGGTAGACCACCAATACAATACTGAGATGCAAGGTGCAAATATCACAAGTTAGCTTTGACTCGGTTATGAATTGGAAGTATCAGTACAACTTTGATTCATCATGCTTGGATCAGTTGATTCTCTTTCAAATTGAACCAACATCTCGAGAATTGTTCAACAAATATGAGACATCAAAAGGCCAAAGAAAGCCAAAAGAAAATAAGTAGATGAGACTTACCTAGTGCCCCGCAATTTTTCAATCCTAAGTTATAGAATCACATGTAATAACCCAATTATTGACCCTAAAGCAAACCTTTTTCCATAACATAAATAGGAGTAATTTGGACAACTTACAAAGATAAACCTATAAAATCGTGGAAGAATCATTATGAATGGTATCAATCTCAAAAAAGGCCCAAAGTTATCCCTCCTTCCTGTGACTGAGCTTCGAGCCCCTGATTGCAACATATATAAGTCTCTTAAGTTCTCTCTCTCTCTCTCTCTCTCTCTCTCTCTCTCTCTCTCTCTCTCTCTCTACGGGGGTTGTATGTGTATCCTAGATGTTGGTTCTGTTTCAGTTCTGGGAAGTTANCAAGAACATATATTTTTACTTATTTTTATTATTATATTTATTAAGTTAATTTTTCATTTATAGAAAAAGTATGAGTATATAGTTGATTAACTGATAATAAAATTTTAGACATAAAAATGAGTGTTAAATTTTTTATTCACAGGTTATATGGATCAATATGAGCACAAAACAAAAATAAATAGGTCGAAATGACACGACACGATTAATTAAACGGGTTATGTTAAAATTAATTAATACTCGACATGAACTCAAAATAACCTGACACATGAACCCAACAAGATTGTCACCATCGTTTGTGATTGAAAATTCATAGCTGGCGAGAAAAGCTAAGGGAGAGAAAATGACATGGCGTGAGGTACAAAGGTTTGTCGCACTGTTGAGGATTAGGAGACAAACATGGTGGAGACTATTTTACAGAAGGAAAGTCATTGGGAAGGAGCCTGACCAATGCTACCATCTTAGTTTATAATTTTACACATTAAAATTCCAAACGATTGGCTGGCTTAGATGGCGCATCAAAACAACAAAAACAAACCTCTTTGGCTGAACTGAATAGTTCCTGCGATCACAGTTCTAGGGACAAGAGCATTGAATCCATTAATCTAAAAGATAAGGACTATCAACTAAGGATGTTCAAGAAGGTGATGTTTCTATGTCGAACACTGATTCTTCTCGGACACGTGTCCGATAATTTTTTAACCGTGTTCATAATTAGAAGATTGAATCTTAACTTCGAACACGACACACCTTTGGTGATGTTCCCAAATTATTCAATATGAAAAAAGATGAGCATTATCACACAGACTCTCTCCCTTCCTCTCTCTCTCTCTCATTATTATAGTTTGTTTGAAATCCAATCATCCTAATGATATTAGTGATACTTGCGAATGAATAGCACCGGTGTTTGTGTGTTTTGGGGGGCAAGCAGCATTGAAAGTAATCTCTCTCTCTCTCTACGGGGGTTGTATGTGTATCCTAGATGTTGGTTCTGTTTCAGTTCTGGGAAGTTGATATAATAATTGGTTTCCAAGGTTGTAGGAATTGCATACTTGCACGTTTCTTGGATGTGGCCTTGTCGGAGTAGTAGTTTATGCACTCCAAAGGCTGTTTAGTAGGCATCAAACTCGACCGTTTATAGGAGGCAAGCTTGTTGTGTGCTTCCACCTTTTCCTTTTTTCCGCTAAATTTATTTATTTAGATTAATATGCGTGTAAGAAACTACGATAAAACTCAAATCTATGACTTCCGCCATTACCGATTTTAAGGAAGGTCAAATGTGCACAGTCTAACTCCGTACAAAGCGCTTGTTTTCGGGATTTGAACCCTTTGACGCCCATACGATAATAGAGTAATTTCGTCACTATGTCAAACTCCACCCTTGAATCTATGAAGTATTTGAATGATTAAATAACAATGGTGTCATACAAAGTGGCATTATACTAGATTTAGGAGAATTAATTGTATACTTACATCCATACAATAGTAATACCCGAGGGAAAATGTCTACCCAAATCTTAAGAACTCCTTCTTAACCACTAAGAAGTAATTTTAGGTAGAACAGCTGCATACTGCTGCTCTTGGTGGCAATAGAACTATCGAACTAACATGTATGTAGTCTCACCTCCATGTATCTGCAACATGAACAAAAATACCTTAATCACCGTGAAAGAATTGCCTAATTAGCAAGAAATCGGTATGGACAAACCGATATTAACAGCATACTAGTAATCACTGAAGAATTAGCAGTACATGTGAGTATCTATAGAATATATGGTATACATGTACCCCTTTTCGGTTAATGAAATTACTTACCTACCGAAAAAAAACGCGTACCTAATAGCTACTAGTTGGTGGTATAGCTGCATACTGTCTATCAACAACCTTAATCAGTTTGTTGGCTATTGCACTGGCATACACAGATGAACCTTCAAGAATCTGCAGCATGGAGAAAAATTATACAAAAATAAACTAATAATACTGTGTCCTCTTTCGGACTTCTCTTCGGCTGCCCCTCTGTGGGTGCTTTGTCTTCTTCTATAGATGAATTGTTCCAAGATAAAATAGTTAATTCTTCACTGTAATAATGATCTAGTACTAATGTATGTATTTCAAAAATGCTAAGAGAAAATGACAGATGAAATGAAGCATAGAGTGTTTTATACCCTGGCATTGAAGAGAAATCTGTAGTTATTACCAGTAAGTCCACCAGCAACATGGTAGAGATCCAACTGAAGATCATCGAGTGCCTTCGACACAAACAGCAGACAATTGATCCTCTTCTGCTGAACTAATTTGATGGTCACTTCATCATCGATGATACGAACAACAACCTCGGTGTTCTTGAGCTTCCTCTGAAGCCATGAGCTCCTTAGTGATGAGCCATTGTTGGACTGGTCTTGAGCACCAAGAGGCATTGTGTTAGTACTCTCTACATCCGCTGTTTCATCCTCTGTCTTGTGCCTCTTGATCCTCTCTCTGGCACATCTCTTCTTCTCCACCAGAATCTTGAGCTCATTGACTGTTCTTAGGAGTTCTTTGATGTATTCTATTGCGTCTTCCACTATTGATGCTCTATCATTCTTGGTTGTTCTCCCCTCAAAAGAATTCAAAATTGTCAAACAAGTAAAATTAACTGACAAAAATTTGTGCATGTACTTAATCAAATTGAGGTAATCTTTTTGTATTATATAGATTGTAAGCTAATCCAGTGGAGTTAAAGATGCTAGAAAGTAAAAAGGCAAATCAAGCACAGAGAGAGAGAGAGAGACTGCAAGCGAATACCTTGGTGGGGTTGGGAACCAAATTCCTCAAAGCTTTGTACTTGTCATTCAAGTTCTCTCTCCTTTGTCTCTCAGTGACAAAGTCATTCAAGTTCTCTCCCCTTTGTCTCTCAGTGACAGTGTTTGGTAGCTCTTTGCCATCTCTCCCTTTCATATCCCTCGAGAACTGCAGAACTCCACTGTCAAAATGCCTCCCATCCCCATATTGGTACACACCTCCACTTGCTTCTCTCTCATCCACCATCCCATTGAACAAAGAACCAATTCTTGAGTCTGTGAAGTTAATACCATGGGGTAAAGACTGAAGCAACTCCCTAAACGTTGGAGGCTGTGGTGGAAGGTTCAAAGGTAGCAATGGGTCATAGAAAACATTCGAGGCCACCCTGGTGGGATCAAAGCAAGGGGTGCAGTTTGGCACATGGGTTTGAGAGAAACCATCCTCAGCTAGCGCTTCTTGCACAGTGGTGGGATCAAAGCAAGTACTGTCCTTATACATTTTCAAGATCACCAGACTGTCGATGTTTATACTTTTTGATTTTCGTCTGCAACCATATAAAAAGTTACCAAAATGGAAAACCAAAAGTGTATGACTTAATAACAAAAATAAATAAAAATTCAAGAGAATTTCATGAGTCTGCTAATAGGTGGACAACATGAAAAAGAAACCCTAACCTTTATTCTAGATGAAAACTATCAGGTGGTCTTTGTCTTAAAGATTGAACCTTCAAGCAACAGAATTTGTGTTTATAGAATCCCAAAAGAGATCACCAGGGTAAGAACTTAATAGCCTCAAGGACACCCACTACATCAAGACTTTCAAGATTTGTGGAGAGAGAGAGTTTACCCATGGGATTTGCAATAAAGGTTGGTTGGGTTTAGTTGGGCTGGCTTGGGGGAAACTAAAAATTGAAGAACCCCATAAAAACCAATGACATTCAATAGGGAAAACTACAATGTTAACCCCTTGAGTTTTATTAAAATATAATTTATCCCATTTAATTTTAGAAATTAAAATGATTCACATTCTTTCAAATTTTGGTAGGTGACNGTTGGTTGGGTTTAGTTGGGCTGGCTTGGGGGAAACTAAAAATTGAAGAACCCCATAAAAACCAATGACATTCAATAGGGAAAACTACAATGTTAACCCCTTGAGTTTTATTAAAATATATTTTATCCCATTTAATTTTAGAAATTAAAATGATTCACATACTTTCAAATTTTGGTAGGTGACATGACTAACAGAAACGATTAATTTGAATCTTTTACCCTTAATCATTTTCTAAAAGACTCGGTTTCAAATAGAATAAAATTAGTCAAATATGGTCTATAGTATTATAGTTCTCATTTTCTAGATTCCTTGACCTTTCGGCATTGCATAGACATCANCGGTTTCAAATAGAATAAAATTAGTCAAATATGGTCTATAGTATTATAGTTCTCATTGTCTAGATTCCTTGACCTTTCGGCATTGGATAGACGTCGACTCCCATACATGGTCTGACGACTTTGCAAAGACGCTTCTATCATTAATTTTCCAGTGGTATGAACTACTATGACCGTGGCCAATTAAGAATCTTCAATGATGGATTGACCCATCGTAGTCTTTTTTCATTAATCAAAAAAATAAAAAGAGATAGCCAACATTTTTTTTTGTGGTTCTAACGAGTGCCTGGTCTTCTTAGAGTGATATAGCCACCATAGGCCAGCTCGTTTGTAGGGCTATGATCAAACCGGGATTGTTGAGAAGAAGCATGTCCTGCGTTTCTCAACCTCCACAAGGGAAAATCAATGTAAAGAATGGCAGAAATAGCATGAGAGAGAGAGAGAGAGATCCACTTGACAAATTTAAACCAAGTAAAAGTCATATAAGAGTCGTGTCATTTTGGTTAGGTGTATGAGAGAAATTGATAAAGAAAAAAATATGAAATAAGAAGTATCTGGATATATAAACATACACATATAACTTCTGTGATGCTTTGACTAGTCGAGAGACCTAATTTAGAGATCTAAAGTTTTTGTGCGCCTAGTCTCTTGGGTTGTGAGAGATATGTCTTAGTCTTTTATTCATTTAACTACATTGTTCAAGAGCTCTTTTTTGATGAAATTTGCTATTGGTATATCTCTTTGTGTTTAGAACTTTATTGCAATATTTTTTTTTTGGAAATAAAATTTATTTACCTACCGAAAAAAGAAGAAGGCAAGTCCATAGACCAATATGAATTACTTGTCCAAGCATTATATTGGATTATAAGAGACTCATACCCAACATTAGTTGATTGTTCTTGACATGTCTTTCTGCTAAACTAGACTGATCTAATGTCTAGCATATGGATACATACATATTAATCAAATTCTTTGGAAGGTGAAGAATTTTGGAGCATTTTTAAAAAGCAAAAAAGAAAAACAGTGCGATATAACAAAAACTACAGCATTGAATGTGAAAATCCATCCCTTCCAGATTGGTAGTTCTCATGATGGTAATGGCTATATCATGGTAAAGAAATAAAACAAAAACACAATTTCCTTTTCCTTTTTTTGGTATTACGGGCAAGGACATCTGGATCAACTTATGTGTGTATCTCAATTAATCCCTTTTCTAGTTCGATCAGAGGCAAACTATACACGACGAGAGAAGAGAATTCAAGAAGCATAAATCAATCATATATTAGCCTCAAGGGAGTTGCTAAATTTTAAATTCAAAACGTCTAGGTTATAGCTCGTCCCTCACTCCACTAGACACCCTTTTGGAATTACACCAATTTTTCGTGACCTCTTTTTTATTTGAATTTCAACCACCTTTCCTTCATTTTGCATATATCAATACTCCTTGTACTCATTTAGGTAGCATTGATATATGGACCAATCATTATTTATAATGCATTTTAAGGGAGACTTATTATATACAAACGGATCCATCAGATGAAAATAGCTGTGAAGTTACTAGTTTGATCATACCAATAGGTGTTTCATTAGGAAAGAGAAATCCTAAATAAAATTTACCATTAATAACATCTTGAACTAATTATTTTGAAATAAAATAATAGAAATATGACATAAATGTAATAAAAAATCTGAAACAACGTAATGAATTTAAAGAGAAAAATTAAATTTTAATCTTAATTTTCTCTTCTCTTTATGTAAAAATAAATTCATCTCCAAGTCGATGGGAAGGAGCAAGAAGCATAAATCCATATACTAGTTGGGATAAGTGTACGACACCGGGAAAAAAATATTGGTACCGATATTTATTATTTTTGTGAGTATTTTTAGTATAAGTTATACTTTAATCCTTGAACTATTATCTTTGTTTCACTTTGCACTCTTAACTATAAAATTTATCATATCGTACTCTAAAGTATCAATTTTGTTTTACATCACTCCAATAGATAACGACAAATTTTTAAAAATCTTTCAAAAGAGGGAGGAAACCTCAAAGAGTTCCCGTCAAATACTTAATACCACTTTATTTTACCTCTTCTACAATCAAATGGTTGTTGGAAAAAAAAAATTAGCTAGGAGAAAACAATTTAGAGTTTAAGAAGGACAAATAATGGACAAGTAATTTTTTTTATTTTTTACCTACACATGAACTTGTACTTGTGTAGTGTTTCTCTTCCTTGTTCTTCCTGATAAATCAAGAACCACCCATTCTTAAATCTTAACCATGAAACTCGATCTGGAGCTTGAACTGAAAGAAGTGGCTGCATGGCTTTCTCGTCCCTGACTCGACCCCCCCTGGGAGTCTCTGTCGATTTGTAACAAGGGATGAATCTGTGAGCCCCTTGTAATAAGGACTACTCTTGGAGTGTCTCTTCAAATCCAAAAGCTCAGTTCTTCTGTTAAATTCCCCAAGACTATGTTCAGTTAAGTCTGAGTTTGAAACAATCTTGTTGGCTATGTAGGTACCAACCTTGAGCCAGGAAGTCATCAGTGAGCCGGTTGAACGGAGAGAGAGGTTTGAAGGAGGGGCATAGGACTGAGACTGAGAGACAGTGGGAGAGAGACGTTTTCTGGTGATGGGGGGGGATCAGGAATGGGANTGAGAGAGAGAGAGAGAGATCCACTTGACAAATTTAAACCAAGTAAAAGTCATATAAGAGTCGTGTCATTTTGGTTAGGTGTATGAGAGAAATTGATAAAGAAAAAAATATGAAATAAGAAGTATCTGGATATATAAACATACACATATAACTTCTGTGATGCTTTGACTAGTCGAGAGACCTAATTTAGAGATCTAAAGTTTTTGTGCGCCTAGTCTCTTGGGTTGTGAGAGATATGTCTTAGTCTTTTATTCATTTAACTACATTGTTCAAGAGCTCTTTTTTGATGAAATTTGCTATTGGTATATCTCTTTGTGTTTAGAACTTTATTGCAATATTTTTTTTTTGGAAATAAAATTTATTTACCTACCGAAAAAAGAAGAAGGCAAGTCCATAGACCAATATGAATTACTTGTCCAAGCATTATATTGGATTATAAGAGACTCACACCCAACATTAGTTGATTGTTCTTGACATGTCTTTCTGCTAAACTAGACTGATCTAATGTCTAGCATATGGATACATACATATTAATCAAATTCTTTGGAAGGTGAAGAATTTTGGAGCATTTTTAAAAAGCAAAAAAGAAAAACAGTGCGATATAACAAAAACTACAGCATTGAATGTGAAAATCCATCCCTTCCAGATTGGTAGTTCTCATGATGGTAATGGCTATATCATGGTAAAAAAATAAAACAAAAACACAATTTTCTTATCCTTTTTTTGGTATTACGGGCAAGGACATCTGGATCAACTTATGTGTGTATCTCAATTAATCCCTTTTCTAGTTCGGTCAGAGGCAAACTATACACGACGAGAGAAGAGAATTCAAGAAGCATAAATCAATCATATATTAGCCTCAAGAGAGTTGCTAAATTTTAAATTCAAAACGTCTAGGTTATAGCTCGTCCCTCACTCCACTAGACACCCTTTTGGAATTACACCAATTTTTCGTGACCTCTTTTTTATTTGAATTTCAACCACCTTTCCTTCATTTTGCATATATCAATACTCCTTGTACTCATTTAGGTAGCATTGATATATGGACCAATCATTATTTATAATGCATTTTAAGGGAGACTTATTATATACAAACGGATCCATCAGATGAAAATAGCTGTGAAGTTACTAGTTTGATCATACCAATAGGTGTTTCATTAGGAAAGAGAAATCCTAAATAAAATTTACCATTAATAACATCTTGAACTAATTATTTTGAAATAAAATAATAGAAATATGACATAAATGTAATAAAAAATCTGAAACAACGTAATGAATTTAAAGAGAAAAATTAAATTTTAATCTTAATTTTCTCTTCTCTTTATGTAAAAATAAATTCATCTCCAAGTCGATGGGAAGGAGCAAGAAGCATAAATCCATATACTAGTTGGGATAAGTGTACGACACCGGGAAAAAAATATTGGTACCGATATTTATTATTTTTGTGGGTATTTTT